CGGACCACACCAGAGCTGCCCTCCCGTCACCTCAGCCCGGCCTCGCGGTGTGGAAAGGATTCGCTCGTTAGCGCGTCCGTGCTGCTTCGCGTTAATCGCTGTGACCTCGTCAGGCGGTGGAGTTTTGCCGGAGGGCTGGGTGTCCTCCGCCCCTGCTCTGCCCTGGTGAGGCCCCGGCTGGAGTGCTGCACCCAGCTCTGGGCTCCCCAGTTCGAGAAAGATGAGGAGCTACTGGGGAGAGTCCAGCGGAGGGCTACGAGGATGGGGAGGGGCCTGGAGCCACTCCCCTACGAGTAAAAATATCTGCAGGGTGGGTGTCAGGAGGATGGGGCCAAGCTCTTTTCAGTGGTGCCCAGTGACAGGACAAGGGGTAATGGGCACAAACTGAGGCACAGGAAGTTCCGTCTGAACATGAGGAGGAACTTCTTCTCTCTGAGGGTGACGGAGCACTGGAACAGGCTGCCCAGGGAGGTTGTGGAGTCTCCTTCTCTGGAGATATTCAAGACCCGCCTGGACAAGGTCCTGTGCAGCCTGCTGTAGGTGACCCTGCTTTGGCAGGGGGGGTGGACTAGATGATCCCCAGAGGTCCCTTCCAACCCCGAACATTCTGTGATTCTGTGGTTCTGTGGTATTGTTCATGCTTAAGTAAACGAAAGGGCAGCCCAGCCCTGGAAGTAAGGACTTTGTGGAAGGTTGGAGCTGTCCATGAAGGATAAAGGGCACCCCTGGACAGCCAAGACCATGGCAGCACCCGAGCCCCTCCGACACGTCTTTGAAGCCCTCCCAGCATCGCCTGGTGTTATGGATGAGTAACTCCAGCAAGGCTGGCTCCAGGGACATCTGTATCAACAGGAAAGCAGCAAGAATGCTGCAGGAATAGAGTTGTTTTGCAAAGTTTTACTGTGATTAGTAACAGGTGGCGTGGGTGTAAGTCATCAGTCAAATCGTGTTGGACTGGGACGTTTGAAGGGTGTGAGAGCCCTGCATGAAGCCGCAGTTCGGGTGCCCCGGTTTGGCTTCACCCACGAGGGAAGGGCTCTGGGTGAGCTGAGCAGGGCCGAGAGGCAGTGCAGGGGCAGGGAGGGCCTTTTGTCTTCAAACAGGGACACGCCACACGGAAATACCGAAGTGCGCAGCCCAGCTTTGGTCTTAAGGTACAGTGCTAAACCGTCACTGAGTGGTGGTGGTTGGTGGGGTTCTCTGAAGCAGGAACCATGGGTGGGGAGAGGCATCGGTGGCAGGAGGGTGTTCCCAGGTGGGACGTGCAGGACACGGACACACACCTAATCCCCATTTCTTTCACCGAGTAGGGGAGGGAGGCTGTGACTCTTGTCCCCTGCGTGCAGCACTGCTCTTCTAGTGCCCCTGCCTTTTCTGCTGGCAAGAGAGAGGCTTTCTGCACTGAGCTCCTCCTCTCTCCTCTCCGCTGTCCTCTCTGCCAGCAGCAGCCTGCATGGCTCCTCTCTGAGCTCTCCCGTGTGTCCACAGCCTGGGGCAGAGCCAGGGCTGGCTGCTGCTAGGGGAGCAGGTCAGAGAGCAGCACTGGGAGAAGTGGAGCCCTGCAGCAGCCGAGCAACCGGGACCTGCTGGCAGCAGGACAGAGGAGCTGTGCTCGGGAAGATAAGGGAGGGAGCCGTGATCTGTCTGCAGATGTGGGATTTCAAGCCTGGCTCCAAGCACAGGTCCACTGGCAGGCCAGCCGCATGCTCCCTGCCATTTAAATATTGGTGTTGTCTTTTTTAAGGTAAACTATTCTGCTACATTAGGTTAAAGCAATTCCATGGTTGTTTTCAACCACCCTGAATGCAGGCTCCTCTTGGAAGGGGGTAGGTGGCAGCCCTGCCTGCCATTCCTGCAGCAGAAGGGGGACTCCTTTGTCCTGAGCTAAGCCAAACCAGGACAATGACCCAGATGAAAACTGACTCAAGAAAAACTCTATCTGGACCAGCTTCCTAATAGACCCAGACACTGTTTTCGGTACCATCCTGTCTTATAGTCAGCCTACAGCCAATGTGGGACAGCCTCCGGGTGGTTTATGGCTCCAGGGAAATGCAGTGCAGATCAGAGCCCTCCTCCCCCTGCCCCTGCTCAGGGGTCCCCGTCCCTCCCTTGAGCTGGTGCTTGCCACAGGTAAGTGAGCTGGCTCTGGCAGCTGACCTGTCTGACAACACTTTTGCTTTGTTTCCACTCCCTTTAGGTGGCTCAAGAGTGCATCAGACAAGCCCTGGTGCTAGTGCGAAGGAGGAACACATTTATGAGGGCAGAGGGAGAGTGTGGCTGCAACAACCACGACTGATACCAGCTTAAGAGAGACGGGCACCCAACGCCATCCATGAGCATCG